TCCCACAGAAGCTGGTCTCTTGGGGAACAGTGAGGGAGGAACAAGCCTGAGAGCAGTGCAGGGGGGCAGGTGGACCAGGTGAGGGGAGAGGACAGGGCAGAGCTGAGTCTCCCTGGGCAGGCAGGGGGTGGGTGGGAAGTGCAGCAGGACAGAGGGACACTGCCCTATGAGCCAGGGCTCTGGGAGGAGCCTGAGAGCTCATTGGCAGGAGCATGGGGAACAGGAGTGTCTGGTGTGATCTGAGGCTTTTTCCCAGCCCCAGCTCTGCGGGGACCAATGTCATCACTGTGACCTCAGGCAGAGCTCAGCAAGGGTCTGCTCAGCCAGGGAGCTGCCACTGGTTGTCAGAGTAATGTGGACACAGCTCAGAGCCTCATGCTCTGTAAACCTTGTTCCCTTTTACATTTCTTAAAAGTTCTTTAAAACCCTCTGCAACTTTTGTATGTGTGTGTGTGTGTAGAAAATGGTTGTAGGCCAGAGGTGTGTGGGAAGAGGATTCACTAGAGACAGAGTGGTGAACCCCTCTACCTCTTGATTGTGAATGGAAGGGACAGTGGAGGCCACTCCTGTGGTCTCAGGGGAGGTGGTGGCAGAAGTGGGTGGGGGTCTCCCTGGGGTGAGTGTAGAGAACCCACACCTCAGGTCTGTTTTCACTTCTGGGAGCCCCCGGCCTCCCAGCCAAGGAGTCCCCCTGTCGCTGGAGAGATCCTGTCAGCTGGAGGGCTGGGGAGAGCTGGGTCTGCAGGCCCCACAGTGGCTGGGCTGTGACTTGGGCCTGGAGAAGTCAGGGCTCCGCTGTGTCCTGCTCCAGAACTACCCTCGGGACCATCCACTTCCTTCCTCCATGGGCATCTGGATCCCCACACTGGGCTTGTCCCCTTCTCACTGGTGTCACATCTGGGAGGAAGGAGAGGGTGGGGTGTCTCCCCAGACGCCCTCCCTGACAGGTTCCTCCTTTCCTGTTGAGGGAAAGATGTGTAAGAAAAGAAAGCAAAAGGCAGGTGGGAGGGAGGGGAGAGGAGGGGGAGGGCTCCCAGCACTCAGAGCAGAGACATGGGGATGAGACAGTGCTGTGGAAACCAGGGGATGTGGCTTCCCTGGAGACTCGGGGCTGGAGCTGAGGGAGCGTCTCAGCACCTCTGCCGGGAGCAGCCTCCTGGATAATGTTTGACTGGACAGAAGCAGAGGGAGAAGAGAAGAAGGGGAGATGGGGGGTCAGGGGGAAGCAGGTTCCTCGGAGCTGCTCCCCTGAGGCCTTGTGAGGAGGGGCTGTGTCTGGGGGGGCAGCTGAGGGGGCACAGGGGTGCTGAGGAGCAGGAGCTTCACCCCCTGCTGAGAGAGGAAGGGACACCTGAGAGGATGATCAGGTGGAACATGGATCACCTTCCCGATCAACACAGAATTATGACAAGTACATGGGAAAGGCCAAGTGACTGTGGAATATGAAGGAAGGAAAGGACAGACATAGAAGGATGAGAGATGGGCCCAGTGGGATTGAGAGATGAGGCAAGAATGGCCCAGGGCTGAGGGAGCCATGTCTGCTCTGCCTGAGATCACAGTGATGACATGGTCCCCACAGAGCTGAGAGAGAATTGGGGTCCCCATGAGAGGAATCAGAAGCCATATTGGGAGGAGGATCCTAAGGACACTCTCACTCTCCCAAGTCCCCCCGACCTGCCCACTTGGGGGTTCCCATCCCTCTGGATGAAGATCTCACCTCCTCAGATGTCTCTCCCTGAGCCCAGAGAGAGAGAGAGAGAGAGAAGAGGAGGGATGGGGAATAGCTCACAGAAGACAAGGGGACAAGCCCTGCCCAGGACTCTGGGTACATGGGCTCTGGGGCTCAGCTGGGGGTGGACAAGCTCCTGAGGTGAGAAGGACCATGAGTGTCAGATGAGCAGCTTCAGTCTAGACCCAGGGTCTGCCCCATCCTGTTGGGGCCTGGTGTCTCCTCCTCTCCTCAGGCTGCTCCTCAGGTCTGCAGGGGGAGGGGCTGAGCTGTGTGATAGCTGGGATTTCAGTTTCTCATTTTTATGTTAAAAGCAGGAGATTTTTAATGCATTAGCTTTAAAATGACTAGCATAAAAGTTTTCTAAAATAATCAATGCAAAGTTTCCTGGATAAAAATCTGTCTTGAAATAAGTCATCTTGTGTAAAGTTTATGAAATCATAAACATGACTCTCAGGAAATGTATAAACAGTTAATATTATTAATTAATCAGTGACAACACTGGTATTATTGCAACAGGCTACAAAGAGGATTTTGAAGAATAGATCCTTTGTTGTCCAGCATGAAAGCAACTTAAAATAAAATGTACTAAGAAGGAACAAAACTTGTACTATCTATGGATAAAAAATTATAGTCTTTGGAATTCTCTTCTTTGCTTTACAGACAACGTGTGACTTCACAGCAAACACATCCTTAATTAATGATAAAAACCCAAGTCAAACCTTTTGCATTTTCTAAATAGTTCCGTAAGTTTGAATCTAATTAGAAAATCTCTGTAATGCCTCATTAGATCAAAAGACATGACACACACCTTACTTATCAGTTTTTAAAAGTTTTGTGGAACAATAGAAGGAAAAATTTCATGGATAGAGCTGAGGGTAAATCTTAAAAAAGACAAACATCCCATCGCAGGATCCAGAAGAAAAGCAGCACGACCAGGAGAGACGCGTGTCCTCGGCTGTGACTGGAGTGTCCCCTCCAGGGCTCATCCTGACTCTGTGCAGGGGGCCAAGGGACACACTCCTGGGGTCCAGCTCCAGGTCACACAGGAGGGCACATGGGGGATGTGGGCCAGGAAGCGACACATGGGTGATGGGAAAGTCCACACCTGTGACTACTCAGCTCCACACACACAATTCACACACATATGAACAACCACACAACACAAGTGTATGTTTTTAAGTACCAAGAGAAGCTCCCTTTACACGTCTCCAAAACAGACAGTGCCAATCTTTGTATCTATATTACTTATTTCTCAAGTTCAGTCACAATCCAACTGTTCATCTGTTACCCAAAAAATACATCATAAACATAAGGTATTCCTCAGATCTGGATTCCTCAGCACAAGCTCAAGTTGGATAAACTCCAGTTAATTTAGGACACGAATTCATAGCTCATTCCCTTCCTTGTCAAAACAGCATGAAAACCCCTTGAAATATTTTCTTTTTCCTTTTTTTTTTTTTAAACATTTGTGTTTTATTTATTTATTTATTTTTAAATTTATACAAGCACTGGGTACAGTCAGAAGCGCGGGAGGGTGAGAGAATTCACCAGAGCCAGAGCGGGGAGCAGAGCAGGCAGAAGGACCGAAGTACACTGCTGAGGGGAGCAGCGGGCGGCAGGAGAGGTCTGCGCGCCATGTGGGACCCTCCTCTGGTGGCCGGGGAGCCTCCGGGGATCGAACTGGCGCTTCAGAGGCTGCGGGCAGCTTCGCAACCCAGCGCTCAACCGCTGCGCCACCGGGGAGGCCCTGAAATATTTTCTTTATGAAAAGAAAAATGATCTCCCATGGTAACACTCTTCCTATCCCAAACAGGTTCAAGTCAGTCAATTTCACCATCTGTGGCCTCAGCATGAGGCCTGACCTGACTGTTCTCACAGCCACTGCAGTGATGGGGTGATGGTAGAGTCCACGCATTCGACTCCTCAGCCCCACACTCACAGTGTATACATGGCTTATCTTTAAATATCTTTAAAGCTGCCTTTACAAGTGAAGAAGTGCTCACCTTTCCCCAACATGAGGGGACAGACAGCCCCAATTTTTGCATTTAACATGCCATAGTAAGTATTTCTCAAAATGGCTCACAATACCTTTATCTATTCTGCTACCCAACACTCTATTATACACATAGACTGCAGCAACTTGTATAAGCACAAGGGAAGATGACAAATGAAGACAATGGGTAATAAATACAAATTAACACACACAAGAGAAATTGTTAAAACCATTACAGTCTCTTTATATTTACACACTGTCATGGTGTCTGACTCTTCCCCCACCCACCCCCTTCTCTGTCTTCTCCCACCAGAACCCCAGTGTCCCCTGGGGGAGGATCACACCTTCCTCCCTGCAGGTCTGGGGCTCAGGATCCTGCTTCCTCTGGCAGCTGTGGTTCCCGTGACCCTTTGCCACAGCGTGTGGAAGGACCAAGTTAGCACAGGGATCCCTGGAGATCAGGTCCCAGCTCCCCAAGTCACGCGGAGTCTGAGAGTCTCTTCTTCATTCTCATCTTAATTCAGGGAGCAGTTATCTGCTTTCCAAATGGTGTTGACACAAAAGAAGAACCAAGATCCTTCTCCTGAGTTCACCAAATTAACACACCGCAAGTTTATCACTGGTAACAGAAATTCATCAGGCTTAATTAAATGAAGTGTTTTTCATCCATTCCAGAGTAGGAAGCAGATAACAGAATATTAGGCTCCTGTAAAGTCCATTGTCTGCCATTTCCCCAAATATTTTAGAGGCAGATTTTCCTGGTAGATATTCCAGACGCCTAAAAATAGATCTGGGGACCCTCCATCAGGCTCTAGTTTCCTCCACACAAAGTCACGTTGGATAAAGTAAACTCCAATTAATTTAGTGAACTCCATTCAGAGCTCATGCCTTTTCTTGTCCTAACAGCATAAAATCCCTATTAAATATATTCTTTACCAAATGATAAATGATTTCTCATGAAAGAATTCACATACCCTAAAAGGTTCAAAGTTGTGTCTCAGCACAAGGCCTGACCTGACCTCACAGCCACAGCCCAGGAATCTGCATCCAGAGCAGGAGGACAAGACTCCAGCATCCGGGACTCACTCACAGGTTTGTCCACAGGGAACCTGCAGCCCCAAGAAGAGCCCAGGGCAGGGCTGGGCAGGGAGGGGCCTCATGGGGACACAGTCTCAGGGTTGCAGGGGAGGAGGGGGGCTCAGGCCCTGGGGGAGCCCCACCCACACCAGAGCCTGAGGGGATCCCCTCCCCTGGGGAACTCGCAGGCTCCTCCAAAGAAGGGGGATTGTTCATGGGCACAGAGGGCTTCTGGGGCCCAGCCTCCAGGGGGCAGAGGGTCATGAACACATCTCCTGAATAACAGATGAAGCATGGAAGGAGGGTCCCAGAGAAGGACTCAGGAGGGAAGGAGAAGATGTGGGAGCCATCGGTCATGTCATAGAAGGAGACGTCCCCGTAAGCATAGTTCAGGAAAACCCCCACCCTGTGGGGAACCTGCCTAAGGGGTAGCGAAGTAAGACGGTCAGTAAAGGCTTGGAATTCATTACTGTGCTGGCCAAAAACCCAATTCCCTGTCAGTGGGGACACATCACCGTATCTATTTTCCTCATCTTTCCTCCAGACCCCCAACACCCACCAGGTTTTTTGTGCATTTCTGACCTCTACTTCCCAGTAACAGCGCCCTGATGTGATGCCCTCAAGACCCCAAACACTGTATCCCTCTTCTTTTCCATCGTCAGATGGAAAAGGTCAGACTCTTCTTGTCATGAGAGAGGACAATTTCATCACTGCAAGAACCTGGATCCAGAGTGACAGGCCCTGCAGAGAGAGAACCCATGTGCCAGCCTGACATAACAAGGGCACACAACTCCTTACCCCAGATGCTCAGCTTTATGGGGAGAGGGATATGTTCCCTGAAATGAGTGCCTGGTGACCCCAGCCCACAGCCCCCAAGCAAGAGAAGAAGCCACAATATTATTGGGGGTCAATTTTGTCACAGGACCCCTGGGGACCCACCTGGACCTCAAGGACTAAGGAGCCCCTTCAGCACCCATGACTAGTCATCCCCCAGCCCAGCTGTGTGACATCACAGCTGCACCCACCCCACCCCCACAGAGGGTGCAGAGTCTGTGCCCACACGGAGAACAGAAGGAAAGGCCAGAGAGAACAGAGTCACTCACAGGCCCGGAACTGCCTCTTCTGCCAATCTGCAAGAGACACACATGTCACGTGAGGGACTCTAGATACTGACACATCAGGGCCCATGCCTAGTTTTCTACAAGACAGTGACACAGAGTCCACAGGGAAAAATATTTGGAAACATTTAGTGGATGCATTTAACCTTTAGATTCATACACACGCACACACAGTTTTTATGCTGCGAATTTCCCATGATTTAAGACGTACATCTTAATACTCGGGGTGAGAGGCTGGACACCAACAGAACAGAAAGGTCTTTACCCAGATACAACCATCAAATTATACTTTTCAGCCACCAGCCACAGACCCATCCTGGAAACTAGGTTTTCATGAACAGGTTTTATGGAAATAAATGCCTAGAACTGTGTGCCTGTGAAGAACTAACAGACCCTCTGTAGGTTCCTCAGTTTACTAAAAATGGAGTTACCATATGATCCAGCAATTCCACTCCTAGGGATCTACCCAAAGGACACAAAAACAGTGATTCAAAAGAGCACCTGTACCCCTCTGTTTATTGCAGCACTATTTACAATAGGTAAAACCTGGAAACAATCCAATGCCCAAAAATAGATGACTGGATCAAGAAGGTGTGGTATATATACACAATGGATTATTATTCAGCAATTGAAAAAGATAAACTCATGCCATTCGCAGCAACGTGGATGGAGCTAGAAGGATTTATGCTCAGTGAAATAAGCCAGAAGGAAAAAGAAAAATATTGGATGGTTTCACTTATAACAGGAATAAAGAGGAACTAAATAAGACATCAGTGTAAAAAAAATAATAATGACAGTACAAAACACAACAAAGCAAAAACAGACAATTATAAACCAGAGACATACTGCCGGGGAGGAGGAGGGAGAGGGTGAGCAGGAGGGAGGGAGGAGCACAGGGGACTGTGGTGATGGTGCATGGGTGCTGTGGGGAAAGAAATTCTATGGGGACTCAATCTGAGGGGGTGGGGGGAGGCAAATAATGTCTAAAAAATGTAAAAAATGATAAATGTTAAAATAAAAAAAAAAAAAGAACTCACAGACCTGGACATGCCGCTTCTCTCTGAGCCATGGGGCTTAGAGCTACAACAAGCCCAGGCCTGTGTGTGCCTGAGGCTACTGCTCCCAGGGCAGCAAAGGCCTGTGGAAGCCTGGAGACACGGGGCCTGGTGGGCAGAGCTTTCCCCTCTGATTTGGAATAATTCTGTTTGTACAACAAGGGGAGAGAGACAGGCAGAGAGAGAGAGAGAATGACACATTGTCACTGAGCTGCTCACGGGGTGACTGTCACATGAGTGTGGAGACACAGGACAATCAGCAGAGGGTCCTGCCCACTCAGGAGGGGGTGGAGAGGGTTCCAGAGGGAGAGAGACGTGCAGAGTAGGGACATGGACACACACTGAGAGGACCAAACACTAGTGACATCTCTGCACATTAACATAGACTGTGGGGACAAAACCATCTGCAGAGAGACAAACACAGAAGCAGTAGATGCACTCATTTGATTCCTTCAAGAATAGATCAGAGAGTTGGAAGCTTCCAAGAAAAATTTCTCTAAGTAAATGAATGGCTGAGATGTCCATGTCCTAATCTCAAGACCCTGTAAACATGTGTCCTTAGCAGAGGAAACAGAAATCTGCAGGCAGGACAGTGATGGGGACCTGGAAACAGGGACATTACTAAGGATCATCGGGGGGGCCAATCACATGAGCCTTAACAGCCATGACCCTGCCCCTGTGCTCAGAGAGTCACATGGTGACAGCAGCAGGCCCATAAAGAAGCTGCATGGCCGGCTGCGTAGACAGAGGATGGGGGTTCCCAGTCAATGCAGGGGGCCCTAGATCCTGGGAGAGGAAGGGGATCCTGGAAGGAAAGAGCTGCCAGACCCCGGAGTTAGTCCTAGGACGTGGTCTCAGGTGTCTGCCCTGCAGGCGTGTGAGATGATAAACTGTATGGGTGAGGCTGCTCAGGGTGTGGTGACCTGTGTCAGCAGCAGCTGGAGCTCTGATGCCCCATGTGTGGGGCCCAGGAGTTGTGAACAGGAGCCTGGCAGGGGAGGGTCTGGAGGGAGCATGAGGAACCCATGATGCATGTGGAGAGATGAGGACCCCAAAGTGTCAGTGCTGTGGGGGGAGATGGAGGGAGAAAGAGGGGCCTGGAGAATAGGAAGGGAGGGAAGGATGTGTGAGGAGAAGAGGACAAGGACATGAGACAGGAGGAAGGCACCAGAAGGCTTATCAATTTGCTGACCAGAGACACACCCAGACCCCTGACTCTGCTGTAGGGGGAGGATCACCCACAATCTCTAATGACCCGACGGGATGTGCCTGCCCCCCTCAGCATGTGCCACACAGGATCATAGACCAGTGGCCCCAGGGGAGCCCCTGAAATGACTGAAAGGGGAGCACAGGCCCCCCAGCACCCTAAGGCCATGTCATCCCCACCCCACACTTGCCTGGGAAGGAGGAAGCAGGTCATTCCCCAACACTCAGATCAAACAAAGCAAGACTCTGAGGCCATCAGGGAAGAGCGTGAGTTTTCTAACCGTGTGAGGAGAGAGGAGAATCCAGGATCCACATCTATAAGAATAAGGAACAACATCTTCTTGTGCACGTGGTATGTAAAGGTGTGACACCAGCCACGCCCGCACCAGCTCACTCAGAGAAACTGGCATTTCCATCTTTGTTGATAAGAAACAAGATCACATGCAATGACTGGGTGGCATTATGGGACCTCTTTGTGAAAAAAGGAGATTTTAAATTTACTTGTTTTTGCTGAGACATGAGTTGACATCCGCTATAATGCTCTACACCACACTTCTTCATACAACAATAAAAAAAGAGGGTGTGGAGGAGAATAGGAAGAACAGGAACAGCAGGAACAAATGTAGAAAATCCAGTGACATTTAATGTGAGACACAGCGTGCCCAGGACTGTGTGTGCACTGACTGCGCTAGTCAGTTAATTTTTGTAGCAAAACCTTAAGTAAAAAATTTTTGCTAAATTTCACAAATAATACGAGATCACACATGTATCCATCTGTGAATCTGTCAATATCAAAATGTGGATTCTAGTGTATTCATGGTGTTTCATTCAAACACAGCATTCTTTTTGCATGCCAAAGGAAAGTTTATGTTAAAATGCATGAGACATGAACTCAGCAGAAGCTGGAATGATGATAAAGACGATCTATGATCCTCACTGTGTGGAAATGAGTCCCAGGGGAACCAGGGAGACTCTCAGGAGGATCCTCACACTCCTGGTCCCCAGGCCCCTCCCTTACAACCCCCCTCTCTGTGTCTCGGTCTGAGTCCAGGACCATGAACAAACCCCTGAGCAGGGAAAGGGCGTGTGACTCAGGCTCAGGAGGCTCAGATCTCCCCTCACCAGCATCTCTGACCTTCCCTGCAGGACCCAGTGCAGACCCTGCCCTGGGGTTACGGGGGGAGCTAATGTGAGAGGGAACACAATTAGATGGACGCCTCAATAATGGTTTTCAAACTGTAAGTTTATCTGAAGTACTTCAAAGGACCCACTGTGTTTCTTTCCCAAGCCTTGCACAGCGTCTGCACAGCACAGATTCAAACTGGTGACTGTGCCCAAAACCTCTAGAAGCCTCTTCTCCCACACACCCCTCTCCTTCCTTCCCCTCTCTATCTCCATCCAGACTTTTCTTTCAAATTTCCCCCCTATTCTTTGGAAATTGATTATAACCATTTTAGGTTTGTTCTTTTCCAGTCTACATAGTTGCCTCTTAAAAAAAAAAATACTAAATAATAGCAACCACGAGACTGTCAGACAGAATTCTCCTTAAAAAAATGATGGTTCTGAGAATCGTACACTGTTCACCTTGTTATAAAGACACAAAAAGTACACACACACACACACACACAAACTGGATTTTACAGCAATTTCAGAATTTTCACAGGCCTCTGTCAGGAGTCATAAACACCCAGAAGCTCTGACCCAGATTCAGAACACCTTCCCTAAACAACTGATTCCTCAGCACCCACAAGGGATTAGAAGGAAAAGACAGCTTGGACATGAATCAGAGCATGCATGAGAAGACAGAGAATCAAGAGGAAAGAGGAAACAAAAACTAGATCCAAAATAGGACTGGGCTTTGGGATCCAGAAGGATCCATAACCCAGGACCCCTTAGGAAGACCTAACTCCGAAGCAGGAAGTAGGATGTCTGGAATTTTCGAGAGATCAGTAAAATCCTGAACCACACACTTGTCCCTGCTGCAGCCTCTCCTCACACTGACCCCCTCCGTCCTCACCCACAAGAAAGGACCAGGTGACAAGGGGTCAGAGGGTGTCCTGACCCCACATGACCTGCAGGGAGGACAGGGCAGGTGGAGGCAGGTCTGTGCTCACAAGGGGGGGCCCTGTTGTTCTCAGATGGAGCCTCCGGAGTGAAGGAAGACAAGGGACCCCAGGTCCTTACTGGTGGGGGTCCCTGATAGAGAAGGGACAGAGGGGAGGCTGGGAGGGAGCCCCAGGACCCTCAAGGCCACTCACCTGCGTACAGCTGGGCCTTCCTCCAGGCTGAAAGGGAACACACAGATGAGACCTCAGCACAACCAGTTGCTCTAGTGATCCAAGGGTCTTGGTATCCCTGTGTTCTGCAGGTGAGACTCTCTGGGGGTGGAGGGGAGAGGCTGGAGAGGTCATGACCTCCTGCCCTGTGCAGAATGCATGGGGTGGTGGGAAATCCCTGGCTCAGGTCAGGAGCCTGCAGGACAGACTGACCCAGCCCTGCCTGCTGCTGCTGTGGGGCTTTGGCAAGTCACTGAGCAGCTCTGGACCTCAATGACTTCAAAGCTCCTGCTTCATCTGCTACTCAGTGTTGCTACACAGGATCAAAAACAGTACAAGAGAAGATATTATTTAATGGAGATATTATTCCATAATTATTACATTCAGTATTTCCTTGGAAATTAATGTGAAGATGAAATAAAACCAACATGGACATCACACCAGCTGCAGAGTAGAAATGGCCCTTCTTCCTCCAGTGCAGTATTTCTAGTGCTAAACACTCTCTGGGAGAGGGAAAGTCCCCCCACACCCTCCCAGGCAAGGTCACCCCCGTCCTCTCCCAGCACCACTGATCAGCATCTTCAGGAGCAGAGAGAACAGACTCTCCTTGGGGTTTTTTGGGGAAAAGGGCAGGAGGAGGTCACACTCCTAAACTCCAAGAGTCCATTTACTTATCAAATCCCAGAGCCGCTGGCTTTACTTCCAGGTGCTGACCAAGAACGAGATACATTGAGGACTAGAAAGCCAGCACCATGGTGGGAAAGTCAGGGTTGGAATGAGACAAGGATGCAGGAGACTCCAAGGGTCATCACCCACCAGGACCCCAAGAATGGGGGGAAAGCAGCACCCAAATCCGGAGAGCCCATGCAGCAGGGTCCTGCCTTGTACCAGCTCCCACTTCCACCCAGCGAAGGTTCCACATGTCTGTGCTGAGACAGCCAAGGGGAGGGACCCCTGGGAACAGGGGACAGGGACCCAGGACCCCTGGAGCATCACTCACCAGCCAGGTAAGCTGCCTTCCTCTGGTCTGAAAGACAACACAGGACACAGGTGAGCTAAGAACCAGAATGTCTCCTATGAAGGGGACACAGAGAGTTCAGGAGGGAGAGCAGAGCTTACCTAGAATTGCCTGGAGTTCACCTGATAATTAAAAATATAAGCATAAACTGTCCCTAAGAACAAAGTTTGTGCCCAGAGAAGACAAAACAATGAATCTCTCTGGGTCTTAGAAGTTCCTCCTTCAGACCAACATGAGCCTCCAAGCTCCACTGTCCCCTCTAGGGCCAGCACCTGCTCTGATCTTGCTGCAGAGGGACCCTGGGCTCTGACTCTGGTGTCAGCTTGTCCCTCTCATCACCCACTGCCTTGCTCAACAACCTGGCCCCTGTCCTGCCTTACCTGTGCCCTTCAGGGCCTCCTCCTTGGTCTGTCTGTCCTCCTCCTTAGCCTGGCCCAGATCCCCCTGTTCCTGCAGCTCCCGCATCTGTGTGGAATGTTCTCTCTGGGTGTAGTAGGCAGCCCCCAGGAGCAGGAGCAGCAGCAAGGGCAGGATCACCAGGAAAGCTGGCTTCCAGGGAGAGGCCCGGGGGAAGAAGGGCTCTGCAGACAGAGACCCCACAGGAATCCCATCAAGACACAGCCCAGGCCAGGCCAGCCCAGCTCACCTGAGGATGCTGGCCCCTCCCTCTGACCCTGCAGGGAGTAGGGAGGGGAGAGTAGCGCTGACCTGGGATGACAATGGCCATGGCCTTCTCCTGGCTCAGGGTGGGGTTGAGGATGGAGCAGGTCACGCTCCCCACAGAGCTGTCTCTCACCACCAGAGTGGCCTCTACGCTGAACAGCCCCTCAGTGTCTTGGGCCTGGACCTTGGAGAACTTCAGGAACTGCTCCCCACGGGGGTCTCTCCACTGCACCTGGGGCTCCGGGAACCAGCCCGAGGCCGTGTACACCACCTGCACCCCATCCTCCTCTGGCCCCGAGATGTGCACTTGGGGGACAGAGCCCACACCTGTGGAGGGAAGATAAGAGTCAAGTGGGGGCAGGCCCACCTGTGCACACCTCCAGGGAGGCTGTCAAGGTGCATTCTGCGGGGTGTGGGGGAGACCACCCCTGGGGGAGCAAGATGATGACATGACATGTTCATCTCTGCCTTTCTTCCTACTATTTTTATAATTATATAAACATGTTCAAATCTTTGTAGAGTTTTCTTGTTAGAAGAGCACACCTTATAATTCAAAAACAGCTGTATTTTCTCATTTCTCACCAACATCTCAGCCTCCATAGTGCAGCTTCTCCTTCTAGTCCATTCTGTTCTGGGTGATGCAACAAAAGTCTCCCGTTTGTCAACCCAGTCTCCAAGGTCCTCTCAGCCAGTCTCCCTTCAGTCAGGACACTCCTGACTGATCTTGAAACCACCTCCATTTTGGGTTGGTCACCTCCCTCTGAGGGTGGCTTATTGGAACTTGGCCCCATTCTGAGCCCCTTTCCTGACTTTTCTCCCTGCACCTGCTCCTTGAAGGCAGCACAGTCCCAGAGTTCAGTCCCTGAAGCCCCGTCTTATCTAACAGCCTCTCCCAGGGCTTCTTCTCCCTCAACTTCATGTCTCCTCATATATCACTTCCAGATATCACTTCACCAGCCTTCCCACCTCCCTCCCTGATTGCCCCATCCCTGTGGGTTACATCTGCCAGGATTCCTCACATGCTCTTCACACCCGAAATTCAATACCTGAACTCATGGTTTTGCCTCATCTGTGGCAAATGGTTATAAAAATATCCAGAAGTCTTCAAGTTTCTTCATATTCAGCTCACACTCTACAACGTACATTTTACTCACACTCTGACTTTTGGTTCAGTCATGTGACTTCATATGTCTAATGAGAGATCAGCTCATGTGACTCAGCAGAGGTTTAAAGTGCTGGCCCCATGGGTGTTCCCTCTGCCATCTCCATGGAAGGACATCGCAGTCCAGGTGCTGGAGGATGAGCTCACAGAGCAGGGCCTGTCACCAGCCTTTCCCCATGCAGCTGCCCTCCCTCAGCTGGAGCCAGTGACCATTCATGTAACAAGCCCAGCCACGACCCACCTGGTGACCTTTCATCTGACCAAATAATGTAGGAGTAAGTTCAGTGGAGAGTAGTCAAGTCCATGCCAGGTTAGCTGAAGTCCCCACCAGCCCATGTGAGTACAAGTCCTTTACTACAGGCCACTGAGAGATTTTTTTCTGTGGTTCTTTGTTACACAGCAGCACTATGGTGACAGGCAACTGATACACATTATTAATGCTCCTGACATTAAATATCAAATAGTCTCTACAAAGCCTCGGAAGCCTCTGCAATCCCTTCTTCCACTTTAAATTCTGTGACCCAATTCTCCCCATTCAATTGGGTTATTTCTAAACCTCACTGATGGCATCTCCTATGTGTCCACGGCCACTGTGTGAACCAGCCCCCCTCTCCACCTGTAACTGCAGCCACAACTCCAGATACTGTCCCCGCCCTTGTCCTCCTGCCAGAGTCACATGCTAAGCACAGTTGTGCTGAAAATCTCCAACAGCTCCACGTACAAACACCACATTATGCGCACCAGGACTCCTCATCTGTGACTGACTCCTCCCCCAACCCTCTTCTCTCTGCAGTGCTCACTCTTTTTACACCTGTGCCCTCAAGGCCCAGTACCCCAAACTAAAGAATCTAACTGCTGTTGTCCACAATCACCAGGCCGTGGGGCCTCCATTGTCCTTTCCTCATCTGGTTTGTGGGGCTTTATAGAATTTGTTAGATAAAATGACGTTCCAGCTCAAATAACTACATCCTATGGAGGTTTTTATGATTACCTTTGGGAGCATTCATCAGCCACCCTCGACCTCTCCGCCATGTACTCACAACATCTTTTCATGACAGTCTTGTCACCTCATAACACCCTGCTCCTCACTCTCCCACCAGCCATGAGGACTCCATGTGAGCAGATCACACACCAAACACACGCTCCCCCCAGGTCATTCACACGGGCTGTGCCTCCACATAGAGATTCCCTTCCCTGTAATGTCCAACATGCTTGTAGCCAACATTGTCACGTGATATGTAGGGAAGTTGTTAAAGGACAAACTCCAAAGAATTTTATTCACAATGAGGAAGTTTTCTCCTTTTTGCTTATTTTTCTTTCTTTTTATTAAACCTATAATAGCAGACAGATGTTATTTAACCTATTGTGGCCATCACTTCACTGATATATAAATCAGTCATTATGCTGTATGCCTCACATGTCCCAAAGCAAATTCCATATAGGCTTTGTGGACTCCACCCCCACCCCAGGTCAAAGCCAAAGACACTGGGAACTCCAAATCCCATAGGTGGCTGGGACCTGAGGGTGGGGTTAAGCAGCCAGGTGGATACAAAAGGCAGACAATTTTTGGGCTCTCGGCCAGCTCGGAGCGTCCGGCCAGCTCTGAGAGTGACTTTGGGTTTCCAGGTCGTCGGATCGGGTAGGACGCATTAAAGACTTTATTTCCCTATTTTCTCCCTGAGTGTAGATTTTCCTTATTTCTTTTTCTCTTGTAAATAAACCTTTTATTAACCCTTTTGCGTGTGTCTGTAGTAGAGTATTCATAAGTCCCTTTAAAGCGCGCGGGTGAGGACCCACAGCCAGGAACCCGTTTAATATCGGGGTTGCTCTATAACAACATTACATATGATACATATTAATTATCTGTCTATGAAACTGGGGAGAAAGGAACACCCACACATCAGATATCTACTCAGCTGTATTCCCACTTCCCTGGCGTCTTTGTTCCCATGGCCCCAGCCTGAGCTACTATTTATTACTGTAAGCTCCCCTCAGCCACAGGCCCACAGTGCTCACCCATCTCCCTGCTCCATTTAGCTTCCTGTCCTCATCACTTCTCACTTCCAAAAGTCATTTATGCCCTGGTTATTTATCACGATTGCTCTATCTCCCACTACAAATATAAACTCACAGAGTGAAGAATTTTATTAGATTTGCTTTTGTATCCAAGAGTTTAGAACAGGGCCAGACATTTGGTAGGTACCCTATATATTAACACTTCATAAAACATGAATTAATAAGCTGGTCTCCTGGCTTCATGTAGTGGCAGTGGGTAGACAGGAGGGATCAGACACCAGAGGTTTAGAAATAAGACCCAACAGATGAGCAGAATGGGGATAGGAAGAGTTTGGAGAAAAGAAGGGTCTGCAGAGGCTCCCAGGGTTTTGCCTTGTCTGTCTGTGCTTGGTGGCAGGAATATTAATAATTGTGTGTCAATTACCTGTCACCACGATGCTGTGCAGCAAACAGGTTGACAGCAGCAGGTTGAGCGCAGTGCTATGAAACTGTCCACAGCCTCTGCAGCACAGGTTTGATTCCTGGCCAGCCAGGAAGATTCCCACATGGTGAAGCAGACCTCTCCTGTCTTGTCCACTGCTCCCCTCAGCAGTGGATTTCAGTTGTCTGTCTGTTCTGCTCTCTGCTCTGTCTCTGGTGAATTCTTTTTTTTTTTTTTAAGATTTATTTTTATTTATTTATACAAGCACTGGATACAGTGAGAGGCGTGGGAGGGTGAGAGAATTCACCCAAGCCAGAGCGGCTGCGCTTTGATGATGTGTGGCCTTGGGGGGAACAAAGCCATGATGTCCCTCAGTTCTTCTTAAAGGTAACAAATCACCTTCCTTAAAAAGAAACCCCATCATCAGCAGATTTATAGTGCTCAGGTAAATAAGAGATTTTAAAATTCTGGGGATAAGAGAGAAACAAGGAACTTGCAAATAAACGAGGCGTGCAAAGGGGAGGCTGGAGAGGGTCGGGCTCCTCTTACCAGCACGCTGCAGGCCAGGAGGTGGTGATGGGTATTTTAAGATGGTTCAGGCAAACAGAACAAAATCTGCTGGGACTTTCGGGGGCAGAGCTCCCGAGAGAGGCTTTGAGGATTAGGCTCAGGACACAGTGCTGTCTACTCCGGGGTTAGAAGTGTTTTATGATTAGAACATCAAGCCTTACTGAAAAAAAAAAAAAAAATAGCCAAATGAGTGATCATCTGAAAGTTATGTTCGAGAACAGGCCGGGCGATAAAGATGCCAGATCAGTTCTATCCAGCCATGATCTCACCACTGGGTGCCTCACAGTCATATAAATATTACCCAGACTATTGTATTAATCATCCTTTAAAAAATGAGAGTTTGTACATTCAAATTTGCCGCATGCCTCTGCTCAGGATGAGGTGAGAGAACCGGTTTTGACATTTCAAACTCAAAATTTAATTGTGACTGCATGGAAACGTCACTTCAGAAAAGCGGGATAGGAGGTTTTTGTTTTTTAAGAAAATAAAGAAACCCAGATGTTTGTGTGAAATTGCCCAAATTTTAAATATTAGGCTTCATTTCAAAGGACACCTGTGCTCTGCAGGGACGGCCTCTGCCCCCGGAGCAGACGCGCGTTGCTGTCTCAGGCTGGTCTGAGCAAGCGCAGGCCAGGTGGACCGGACCCTCCTCACTCAGACTCACCCTCCGCCTCTGAAGACTCAGGAAATTCATTTTCTTCCTTTCCTTTCCAGAGTGAAAGGCCAACAGGAAGGCAGACAGCTGTTCCCTTGAAGAATTAACATTTGGACACAGTGCAGGATTCTGAGCTCAAACACAAACACAGGAGGTCCAAACTCCAACCAAACACGGTTTCCATATTTAGCCCCAGAATCAGTGACTGTAGACCAGATACCCCAAGGCTTTGGGAGGGGATCCCAGAGAACCAATGAGGGGGCAGATCCTCGCCCTGATCCACTCCCTGTCACTGCCCTGGGTGCTGCTCCCAGTGCAGCCTCCCCTGCTCATCCCCCAGGTCCAACAGAGCCTGAGCATAGAGAACCCCCACACACACACCTGCCGCGGAGAGTCAGGCCGGGCGGTGGGCAACACTGAAGGAACAGACCTCTGCTCCGGCCCAGACCAGTCTATAGTGGGTGGGAAGAAAGAAACGCAGACAACACCGCCCCCCACCCCCATCGTTCAGGGGCCAAATGATTCCAAACAGGGTCCTTGTGAGGCACGTCTGGGCTCCTGTTCATGATGTGGAGGCTGCAGTTGGAGGCAGCCTCGGCAGATCAAATCTGAGAGGGAAAGATGCAGGGCTCCCAGATGCTTGAGAGAGGCAGGCCTGGGGGCTCTGTGCAGATGCCAGGAAGCGCCGAGGCTTGGAGATGGAACAAGGAGAGAGGACGGGAGGAGGGACCAAGTGTTGATGAAAATACCCGTCACGGGACGCCCTTGGTCCCTCGGGCCCGAGCGCCTCCTGGAACCCAGCTCGTCTGGCTGCTGGTTGCCGGCCACACACCCCTGCCCCAGCACACCCATACTCAGCTCATATGGGCCCTTGTTACGCTTTTTCCCCTACTTCCAGGGAACCTCACCTCCTAACACCGAAAGCCCATCGTTCATGAAAAACACAGGCCAGCGCGTGAGATGGTCCGATGAACAGGGACTCTGGCCACTGCCCGCCGGGTTTTGCCCAAAGAGTCATCACGTGGAACTTGTACTAGCGGGGCTAGAAGTACCAGATAAACCCAAGTGGTGGGTGATTTAAAATTTCAGCTTACACCTAAAATAAATGACCCATCATGTTCTCCATTCATTTCAGTTCATTTTTCCCTTTATGTTTAGACATAGGTATTGACAATGATGTGGACCGTGAGGCAAGTAAGCCAACAGGTTAAAATTAAGTTAAAAAAAAAAAAGATACCCTCCTTTAAGGGATGAAGCTATGTTTGATGTTGAATCCCTCACTGCTTCCCCAGTCACATAGATTCATGTAACAAACGCTTTACATAACAGAGCACTTGAAACTCAATGTGGCATATGATGTAAACCTTTATGACCTCGCACGTGACATTTGTCATTTGAAGCACTTTGAGATATCGCTTAAAACAAAGCTTCCCGAATCAAAACTGTTAGAATCTATTTCCTGATGTAGAATGAGAAAATGTTCACATGTAAAAAGCCAAGGGGAGGGCCTCCCCAGTGGCGCAGGGGGTTAAGACGCAACCTATGAAGCTGTCCGCAGCCTGTGCAGCACGAGCTCGATCCCCGGCCAGCCAGGGAGCAACCCACATGGCGCGGCAGACCTCTCCTGACTCGCCCGCTGCTCCCCTCAGCAGTGTGTTTCAGTCAGTCTGCCTGTTCTGCATCCCACTCTGTCTCTGGTGAATCCTCTCACCCCCTCCTCACACCCCTCTGGCCTGTACCCCAGCTCTTATATGCATAAAAATAAATTTTTTTAAAAAAAAAGCCAAGGGGACATTCAAAATGTACTACTCCTTAGAATGTTCTTGTCTTAGGCTGGTTTGGGTCAGCCGACAGCATTCTTCCCATAAACTAAACTGTCTCAGGAGCTCAAGGCATAGGTGGGAATTCCATTTTAGCGTGAAATTCTCAAAACATGTTAGTGTGACTTCGGTGTGGATGACACTGAGAAGGGAGAATGTGGTTCAGGACGAAACGTGTAGCTCCAGCCTGCAGGCGGTCAGACGGGTGTTGTCTGGGTTGGAGCAAAGCAAGGTCAGAGAGCTGGTTAGGGGCAGACACGGGGGGGGGGGGGAGGGACTCTGCAAGAACAAGAGCGAAGGTCCCAGGTGGCAACAGGATGTGGCAGGAAGAAGGGCAGCTCACCCAGGAGGGCTGGAGACAGGGAGAGGAGGCGGGGATGGGCAGGATCAGACCAGTGAGGACAGGGAAGGCTTTAAGAAAGGGTTTTTGTGACATTCCAAGCACAGCAAGACCACGGGAAGGCTTGAAGCAGCAGAACGAGTGATCTATGCTTTCACTCTTCAACTGGTTGTGGGATGGAGGATGTTTAAGGAAGGCGGGATAACTAGTGAGGGGGCATCAGTCTTGGCCTAGTACCTTGCAGCCATCCCGGGCTGGTAGGTGCATTGTCAGTTCCCAAAGAGAATCTGGAGCCTTCTGTGGAGTTTTGCAGTCCCTTAGGCTGAGACGGGTCGTGTGCACAGGCAAGCTACAGAGCACAAGACTCCCACTCTGAGAGAGGCAGAACAGCAGCTCCCCTCCAGCCAGAGTAGCTGGGCGGGTGGATAACTATGGCTATGAGGGGGCCATGTCGGGCCTCCCTGGTGGCCTAGGGGTGAAGGCTCAACACTATCAATTCTGCGGCCTGAATTCCACCCCAGCCAGGGAGGTACCCACACAGTGCAGCAGACCTCTCCTCTCTCCCCCGCTGGCCCCCACAGCAGTCGATTTCAGTGGATCCACCTGTTCTGCTCCCCCACTGTGTCTCTGGTGAATCCCCTCATTCCGGCACCCCTAGCAGACACCCCTGCTCTGTAGAGAATGTTGGAAGCCACAGGATGGATTAGTTCAGTCAGGGACAGCAAAGCAGAGAAGGAGAGATGCAAGCAGGCTTGAGAGAAAAGCAGGACTGAGCATTGGAGTTGGCAGCCGAAATGGAAGTGACCATAACTCCCTCTGCGCGGCAACTCAGGAGCAGCAACAGTTGGCAGGAGGGAGCAGCAGAACCTCTCACAGCCACTGATGGGTCAGGTCCCCAGGGGGACATGGGCCAGCAGGAGCCTGCCCTGCGTATCCTCACACCCTGAGACAAATCTGCCCCTCCGCTCTCCAGACCCGGGAAAAGAGACACTGGAGCAATATCAGACCCAGACCCGACACCCCTGAGCCAATGCTTCTGAGTTTTGGGGCTGCAACTGCGCTCCAGGCTGCTCAGGCTGATACAGTGAGTGAACATCAGGGTAGGCCTGGGGTGGGGGAGGTGAAAGGAATCTGCAGTCTGAGTAGCAGCAGAACCCCCGTTGTTCACCTGAACCCACATTTCCAGATGGCAGGTCATTCCTGCCAGGGCTCAGGGTCACAGCGTCCAGACCTGTCTTTGGCCAACCAAGCCGCCCCCAATTCCAGCAAGAAGCAGCTATTTCTAAGCCAGAAATCTCAGTGGGAGCTGACCACCCCCCGCTGCCCGCAGCCCTATCTGAGTCAGGTCAGGGGGGTGTCCCCACTCGGGGGGCGACCATGGCAGGCAGCACTGCGTGACGGACACACCCCCCGTGTCGTGCTGCTGGCGACACTCTTGACAGTGAGGGAAGGGGCTGTGGGCTCGCACCAGCAGGCAAGCCAGGCGAGCAGCAGACACGGGGAAGAGGGGAGCGAGAGGCCGAGCTTTACAGCATCTGCCCGCCTGCCAGAGCCGCCCCGGCCTCCGGCCTGGCCTGGAGGTGGCTGATGGGCACGCTCAGCTCACGGGCAAAGATGGAGGAAAACCCCGGCCCAGAGAGCTTGCAATGTTGGCATGTGACGAACGGGCTATGTTGGGTCTCGTGCGCCCAACACGACGTCGTTTACAATGTCAGTTGTGGTGGAGCGTGGCTTTGAGACAGCAGCGTGGAAGGCAGTGACTGTGTGGAGCGCCCGCTCAGAGCAGGGCAAAAAGGCTAGGACAGGTCTCCTCGCTACAGATCAAGCGGCCTCCAAGCCTTCTCTGGGTTCTCCTTAACTGGGGACAGGTCCATCTCCAGGAAGCCCTGGAAACACACCTCTTGGCAGTTGCGTTTCCCTGAAGGCCGAGAAGCCACTGGGGTTTCCCTTGCCCAGGGCGGCGGCCCCCTTCGGCTCATAAAGGGCCGACTGCATAAAGGGCCACCGTGATGGCGCCCCCGGCCCTGCCTATATAAGCCCGGTCCGGCTGCCCTGCGTGTCCTTAAGAGCCAGGAAGCCTCTGGATAGCGACCTGCAGACTCGGACGGAAGGTAGCGTGGTGGTGTGGTTTATGTGGTTTTCCTCTGGTTTTTCTGTTTACTTATTTAGTTCTTTATTTTAGTTCTTTATTTTAGTTACTGTATTTTTATTTTTGTCTTGTTTTCTTGTATTGTTTTGTTACTTGCTTATTTTTTTTCTATTTTTTCTTTATTATTTTAATTTGTGCTGTTTTATTTTAGTTTTTTATTTTTCCTTTTTGTGTCTCCTCCCCACCCCCCACCCCGTCCCGTCCAGTCCCGTGTCCCTCCCCTTCTCCCCCCTTTCCCTTGTTATTTTGTCGTGTGTTCGTTTTTCCCCTTTGTCGTGGGTCTATTTTGTTGTTGGTGTCAGTTTCTAACTGTTTGTCCTGTTGTGGTCTGTTCTTTGTCCTTGCTGTTGTTCTATGTTGTATTCGTGAATGTAATGGCTTGTTTGTGATTGGTTTGTTTTGATCGTGTTTTTAAATGTTTATATCATTTGTATTTTTTTGGTTGTGTATGTTCATTTATCTTTGGTGTAGATAGTTAGTGTTAGTGTTAGTGTTCTAGTAAGGTTAGCATAGTAAGGTTAGTGTAGTTGTAGGTAGAGTTAAGGTAGCTTTGTTAGTATTTAGTTAGCTTAGTGGGTAATTTTGTATACTATTAATCCTATATTGTTAGTGTAGTTATTGTTAATATAGTAGTAGCCCTTGTAAATACTATCGGGGAGAGCGTGAGGTCAGGAGAGGCAGCGCCAGGGCCGCCAGCGCAGTCAGGGCCGCGGGGACAGTCCGCCGGGTCCGCACTCGCTATGTTCAGGCCCTGCGCTCTCGGGGCCCCCAGCATGAAAAACTACCGGGTGCTGCGCACGCTGGGGGCGGGCGCCTGCGCCAAAGTCAAGCTGGCGCTACACTTGGTGACCGGCACGGAGGTGGCCATCAAGTTCATCTGCAAGGCCAGGCAGGCGCGCCTCGAGTTCCTGGCCCGCGAGGTGGCTTGTATGAAAGCGCTGCAGCACCCCAACATCATCCAGCTGTTCGAGGTGCTGGACACCCCGGAGGAACTCCTCCTGGTCATGGAGTATGCGGGCGGGGGGAACCTGCTGGACTACCTGCTCCGGCGCGGGCGCCTGGAGGAGCTCGAGGCGCGCCACAAGTTCCAGCAGATCCTGGCGGCGGTCGCGCACTGCCACGCGCGGGGCATCGTGCATCGCGACCTCAAGCCGGAGAACATCCTCATGGACCGCGAGCACAACCTCAAGCTCAGCGACTTCGGGCTGAGCATCGAGTGCGCGGGCGCGGCGCTCAGCACCTTCTGCGGCAGCCCCGAGTATGCGGCGCCCGAGATCTTCCTGCACCGCCCGTACGCGGGCCCCGCCGTGGACGTGTGGAGCCTGGGGGTGGTGCTCTACAGGATGGTCACGGGCGCGCTGCCCTTCCGGGGCTCCGACCTCGTGGAGATCCGGGACCGCGTGGTCAGCGGGCACTTCCACCTGCCCCCCTACCTCTCGGCCCAGTGCCGGGACCTCCTGGGCAGAATGATGGTGCTGGACCCCCAGGGGCGCAGCAGCCTGGAGGCCATCCAGCAGCACCCGTGGGTGCGGCCGACTCAGGGGCTCCTGGCCGTCCGCGAGCCGTCGCCCAGCCACCACGACGCGGCCCTGGCGGAGGCCATGGTGAGTATGGGCGATCAGAGACAGCAGAGCCAGACGGCCGTGGTGGAGCGAAGATTCGACGAGGTGATGGGGACGGACCTCATCCTGGGTCCCGGAGGCGGGGGGAGGGGAGCCCCCAGGAGGAGGAGGCGTGGCCGAGTCTCCCCGCCCCCCAGGAGCCCTGCCCACGCGCCGTGACCCCTGGTGCCCGGGACTCCGGGGAGGGCCTCCTGCAGGTGTCCGGGGATGAGCAAAGCCAGGAGGCTGGACAGACAGAGGATGCCGCTGCGTCAGCTGTGTTCAGCCTCCTGGCCACCCCGGGCCGCAGGACCAATTGCGTGAAAATCCCGCAGGACCGAGCCTCAGGGCGCAGTGCCAGCTCCCCGTCAAGCCCCCAGGTGGGGGATACCCGGGAGGACTCTTCCACCCCCACGTCGGGCCCCCTGCAGAGGGACGCCCCAGAGCGCAGCGCCACCCCCACGCCGGGCCCCCTGCGGGAGGACGCCTGGGAGGAGAGCGACACCTCCATTCTGGACATCCTGCAGGAGGTTGCCCCGGAGCCCAGCGCCACGTCAATTCCGGGCCCCCAGGTGGAGGACAGCGCCACCCCCAGGTCACGCCCCCTGCGGGTGGACGCCTGGGAGGAGAGCGCCACCTCCATTCCGGACCCCCTGCAGGAGGGTGCCCCAGATCAGAGCGCCACCTCAATTCCAAGGCCCCAGGCGGAGGACAGCGCCACCTCCATTCAAGAGCCCCTGCAGGAGGAAGCCCCAGAGCAAAGTGCCACCTCAATTCCGGGCCCCCAGGTGGAGGACAGTGCCACCCCCAGGTCACGCCCCCTGCGGGAGGATGCCTGGGAGGAGAGCGCCACCTCCATTCCGGACCTCCTGCAGGAGGGTGCCCCAGATCAGAGCGCCACCTCAATTCCAGGCCCCCAGGCAGAGGACAGCGCCACCTCCATTCTAGACCCCCCGCAGGAGGATGCCCCAGAGCAAAGCGCCACATCCATTCCGGGCCCCCAGGTGCAGGACACCAAGGAGGGTGGTAGCACCACCACCATGCCAGGCCCCCTGGTGGAGGGTGAACAGGAAAGCAAGAAGGGACCAGTCAGTCCTGCCCCCCAGTCCCCCCTCACCAACCTCAGACCTCCCCCAAGACGCAGCTGGCTCCTCAAGTTCCGCAGGAATGCGGTGGCTCCTGCAGAAAGCCATGAAGACAATGACACCTCAGTCCCATCCATTAGCTCTAGCCAAGGCGGGCGGGCCAGCAGGAGGATAATGAATGCCCTGCTAAATTTGTGCTGTTTCTGCCGACCACACCACTGAAAACACGGCAAGGGTGTTCACCCACCCGACAACTCATAAGACTGCCACACCCTGCAGACGTCCCGCCCAAAATGCAGCCACCAAGTGAGCAGGAGCATGCCAGGGGAGGGCGAGGCTCTGGAGAGGGGTCAGGGCCTGGGCCCAGTCAGAGGGGCCAGGAGAAGCATGACGCACACAGGACCTGATCACAGATGTCCGCGGAACACAGATGTCCTGGAGCAGAGCAGGTGAAGGGCCAGGAGGGCAATGGAACTGGTGAAGCACCTGGGGTGGGGGCGAGCAAAGTGGGTGAAAGGTGGGGGTGAGCAAAGCAGGTGAAGTGGGGGACTGGAGGTTGGAGGCAGCTGAACAGATGAAGGGTGGGGAGTGGAGCTGTGCAGGGGCGGAGCTCCCAGAGGCCCCAGGGCCAGAGGCGGCGGAGAACCCAAGGCCTGGCTTCCCACCTTAGGCTCTGTCCTGTGAAGGCCTCCCCGCCCCCTTGCTGGGACAGCCCTGCTGCTGGCGCCTGAGCACACGGATGGCGCAGAGGATGCAGGAGCTCTGTGGTCTGAGTGGCATTGTCATTGACTGACGGACACGGTAGGAAGTCCCCCTGGCTTGGGCCCCTTTTAAAAACTGAAGCTCCAAGTTGGAGAATAGCTCACCTGCCAGCTAGTGGTAGGGCCTCCTGGTTTCCTTCTGAGCCCTGCCCAATCACCTCTGTGCAACGCTCCTCGGGGGATTTCACTCACACACGAGCATCCTGAACACTTCACTCTCTGCTTGGGCTTTACTGGCTCTTCTCTTCCCACGCAGGTCCCGGACGGCGCAGGAGGTGGCCGCGATGGGCAGACGGGCTCCCCACTGCAGAGGGGACCTCCAGGTGACCGGCTCTGCCTCTAGGACGCTGGGGCGTGGAGGCATCTGAATGCTGTTTCTCGGCCTGATGGAGACACTCAGAAATGGATTGCTTTGTTAGCGTGTCTATGCCATGACTCATTAAATCATTGTTTGAAACCGACCTTATTTGCTTCTCATTTATGAACGTGCCCGCACTTCCAACACCTGGGTCATCAGATACCTAAATTTGCTTTAAAATTCCTATGATCAGCACTGGAAATTTAAGAAAATTTAGAAAATTTTAGAAAGCATTGAGAAAATTTTAGAAGTCAGGTGGATCACACGGTGATAGCACAGTGAGATGGAGAGTGGCGCAGAGCTGCCAATGAGTATGTCATTAGGTATTTGCACTATGTTCTTTAGGTGTATGTGCATTTCACAGTGTCTGTGCAAGTGTGTGCATGTGAGCCTGTACATGAGTGTGTATGTGGGTGCTTCTATATGTTGAAGTGTTCATGTACCTTCTACTGTCAGAAAGACACTCAGAGAGCTGTAGAGAATTGGTACAATGTCTTCAAAAGTGGGGCCACCCTGGTGGCACAAGGGGTTCAGCACAGCACTGTGAAGCTATGGGCAGTCTCTGCAGCATGAGTTCCATCCCTGGTTGGCCAGGGAGCTACCCACAGGGCACAGCAGACCTCTCCTGTCTCCCCGCTGCTCAGCAGTGGATTTTAGTCGGTCTGCCTTTTCTGCTCCCCGCTCTGTCTCTGGGGAATCCTCTGACCTCCTGTACCTCTGGCCTGTACCTCAGTTCTTGTGTGCATAAATAAACCTTTAAAAAATTTTAAAGTTTGGTAGAATTAACCCATCAAACCCTAGTTTATTCTGGTTTATAATTGTATTATTCGGGCCCTCCCTGGGGGTGCAGGAGTTAAAGTCGCCGTGCTATCAAGCTTTCACCAGACACTGAGGCATAATTTCAGGAGTTTGATCCCCAGCCCAGGAGCTGACCCACACAGGAGAGGGCAGGAGACCTCTCCTATCTCCCCACTGCTCCCCTCAGTTGTGGATTTCAGTGGATCCACCTGTTCTGCTCCCCACTCTGTTGAGTCCTCTCACCCACTGCACCTCTGGCCTACACTCCAGTTCTTGCATGCATAATTAAATAAATCTTTTAAAAAAGGGTATTATTCAATTTGCCATCGATTTTAATGCTCAATATTCAAAACAAGATATCCTTACTTTGAAATAAAACATCTATTTTTGTTTACTGTATTCGAACATTTCATAGAAGCAATGACCTCGAACTGTTATTTCATTTAGTTCCAACAAATGCTTTTGTTGATGTTCATTAATTTTTCCAGTAATTAGAAAAAAATAGAGTAAAAAAAGTATTTTTGATACTAAATCATAACATGCTTATTTGAAAGATCTTAAATATAAGACTGAAATTGTTATACATTTTCCTAATTCATTTAAGATTTATTGGTTGGTAAGTGAGCATATTTTAAAATGTACTATTTAAAAACAATACAAATGATATACTGTATTTTTGAAGACTTCTTAAGTGATTTATAACTTAGATAATATTACAAACTTAAAATTAGTGATATTATTAGTAACATCATATATAAAATCTAATGATATTTTCGATCTCCCACATTTTTCCATATAATACCATGTAACATGGTGTATACCGTATAATGTGTTCTTATACCATATACTGTCTTATACCATATACTGTTCTTATACCCTATACCGTATACTGTCTGTGTACACCTATGTATCCTATTATGTAAGTGATAGTGAGGGTTTATTTTTATTTGAATCAAAATGATGTTTTATAAAGGAACTGAGTATAATAATTTACAATACTAGAGTTAGATTTAATGATACTTGGATACAAACAGGAAAAAATAGAGTATGTGCAGATACTTTTAAACTCCCGTTTCCTGTGATTATCCAGAATAACTTTTAAATACTGATCAAAATTTATTTCCATAGACTAGACTTAGCCTGTCTCGAGCCTATTGCTGTCATTTTTCATGTTGTATGATTTGCAGATATACTTCAATAAAAATGATTTTTATAGTTGTTAGATATACATTATGCAATGCTCATTTAAACATATTAGCTTTTACTGTACTTGCCTTGATTTTCAAGCAAAATTTTATGTCACAGTACATTAATTTCTATTATCTATCTTTGCACTTTTTCATTAACACATTTTATTACAATAAACAAAAGTAAAGATGGTGTTAGTTGTTTGGCTCCAGGCTGCAGTAATTTCACCAAACATCTGGAAGACAAATGAATGGAACAGACTATTGTTGTAATTATATTTATTGATTTGAGTGTTTTTAAATTCTTATTTATTTTGAACAATAATGTATTTGTGTCTATAAATTGATTAATGGATTATAATCTTAATCATGAAATAGTAGAAGTTACAGCTGGCTAAGTAATGTGGTTTCTTACAAATTACTTCAATTACAAATGCCAAGCATTCTGCATTCCCCACTTAACAAGAAGTGGTTTGCCAAGAAGTTTCTCTCATGATCAGCTTGTCTCTGTACTGGCACAGCTGTTGGAAAAGAAACTACCCATGTCAAACGTACCTCATCCCAAAACTCAATCTCCAACTACACAGTGTGTCTACACAATTATTCCAGGCTTGAAATGGTGTATGATCTGATATCTTCCCAGTAACAACAGTTGAAACAGTTAGCTTGTATTTATATTTAATTGTTTGCATCATGTTTACCATGCTTTTGAATAATAGAAATAGCCTGCATTGACTAGCAATTACAATATTAAAATACTGTGGGATTTTAACGTGTAAAGTTATGCAGGTTAAAACTGTTCTTTCCTAATTGTCACTTTATGCTATTTTAAAATTTAGATATTACTTGAAAATGGGGCCTCCCTGGTGACACAGGGGTTAAAGGCGGTGCTATCAAGCTATCAGCAGCCATTGCAGCAGGAGTTCGATCCCCTGCAGGCCGGGGAGCAACCCACAGGGCCCACCAGAACTCTCCTGCCTCGCCCGCTTCTACCCTCAGCAGTGTGTTTCAGTAGATCTGCCTGTTCTGCTCCCCACTCTGTCTCTGGTGAATCCTTTGACCCCTCACACCTCTGGCCTACACCCCAGTTCTTGTATGCATAAATAAATAAATCTTTTTAAAAAGTCTCTTTTAAAATGATCTCTTATATTCATGATCCTATATCTGTTAATAGGATAATAATAGAGGTATATATAAGTTTTTATTTAATTTTTATAACCCAGAAATATGTTTTCCTTTTATAGTAATTTATAAAGAATGGATGAGAGATAGCATATATATATATATATATATATATATACACTATATATATAAACTTCTTTCATAGATAGATAATAGTCATATTCTGGTAGTTAGGTGAAAGTATTAAAGTTACTGATTTACCAATTAGAAAGAAAATTTCATTTATAATTTTAAATGCTTTTAAATAGGCTTCATAGGGGCCTCCCCGGTGGCGCAGCGGTTGAGCGCTGGGTTGCGAAGCTGCCCGCAGCCTCTGCAGCGCCGGTTCAATCCCCGGCTGCTCCCGACCACCGGAGGAGGGTCCCACATGGCGCGCAGACCTCTCCTGCCGCCCGCTGCTCCCCTCAGCAGTGTATGTCGGTCCTTCTGCCTGCTCTGCTCCCCGCTCTGGCTCTGGTGAATTCTCTCACCCTCCCGCGCTTCTGACTGTACCCAGAGCTTGTATAAATAAATAAAGTAAATAAATAAATCTTTTTTTAAAAAAAGGCTTCATGTTATTGACATGTGCACATTCTTATGTGGAAACTGAGATTCCATTAGACTGCATACACAAAGGAACAATAGAGGAACAGGTTTTTAGTACTCAGAAGTTAATTTGGAAGAAAATAATAGAAGAGTCTGATCCTTCTCAAATTTATGAAGTTGGAACTCAAACAGTGCTAAATGAGTTACGAATAAAAACTAATTGGCAATTAAAAACTATAGAAGGTGCGTTTTACCTTTTTTCACTTCAAGTGAACATGAGGGTGGCTGTGTCGGGACCCAGGGGGTCGCTGCCGGAGAGGGCGAGGAATGCGCGTCCTCGAAGCCATGGCGAGCTGACAAGGCCGGGCTGCCTGGACGAGGGATTCTGATAAGGTTGAAACGATAAACTTACTTATAAAATAAAACACGTCACATCACTTAATGCAGTCATGAATTATCACACACTCGGAGATAGAATTCCGTGTACTGGCGCTAATGAAAGGTGCACCCCATCAGCGCTTGAGCTGCTGTGCGCCGGGGCCTCCCGCCTCACCTTCCCGCGCGAGTCTCTCCACGTTTCGGGGGCGGCCAAAACAGGCGTGAGGTGTCAGGTCCCGTGGCTCCTCCTGTGGCTCCCTGAGGATGAGCGACCTTGAGCTCCTTGACCTGTGCCTGCCGGCCATTGGCATGTTTTCTGGGAAAAATGTCTATTCTCTTTCTGGTTTTAATCACATAGTTTGGGGCTTTTTGCTCCTCAGTGGCACGGATTCTTTATACCTTGTGTGTGCTAGCCCCTTGTCAGATCTGTCATTTGCAAACATTTCCTCCAATTTTGTAGGCTGCCTGTTGATTTTTTTGATGGTTTCCTCTGCTGTGCAAACTCCATGAGTTACTAATTCTCATTTCTACTTTCTTTCCTCACACAGCATCTTGCATGTTTCTCTTTGAATAGGACGCTAAATGTCTTGATACTGAGTTGTTCTTTCAATGTTTTAATGTTTTTGCCACAGCCTTCAGAACCACAATAAAGTCACTATGATAATTGAAAACTCACCACGAAGTTTGATCATTAAGGAAAAAAATTAATTGAGATTTTAATTTAGATAAGATATTGCTAATTTGTTCAGGCTCTCGTTACATGACCATCACTCGGGGAGGAAAGAAATCCTTCATTAATTTCCAAGGAGATAAACAAACACCACAGATATTCAGAGTGCTTTCAAAAGAAGGATATTTTCTTCTTTTTGAACAGTACCACGGTTGAAGAATTTATTGACTTTATAAGCACAGAAATATAAGATCAAAACTAATGAAAATTGGAAGCACAATTTTCAAGTAACTTGATAGGCACTAGGGACTGCTGGAGACATCCAACACCAGATGACTTCATTGTAAGGGAGGCTGTCAAAAT